CCTGGCATCATACTGCTGGGTGTCAGGAGCTTCTGAAGCTTTGAACCAAGCAGGATTGTACTTCTGCAAATCAGCTGATATGCCGAGTTCAAGCCTGCTTGGTGCAGAGCACAAATGGTCTCACTTGGTTGAGGTAGCTTCCTCTGTCCCCGTTGTTGATAAGTCAGCCTTGACTGCAGGATTCAGCTTTGACTGATTTGAAATGTGCTTCCAGAATACGCAGATACAGAACCTGAATTTTTTGCACCTTGAATCGGTGCCAAAAGCCACATCAGGTTTGTCCAGTTGAGACAGTGACTTGCCCAAGGCCATCTTCTGCCTGAGTGACACCCTGTCCTTTGCACCAACACCCTTCCCTTCACCTTCCCCCACTCTCAGGTGCTTCATATTGGTTTTTGCCTCTTTCTCTAGGTCAGTGAAGTTCAACAAGGGTTATGCTGCCCTCAGCCAGATCTCAGATGAAACCCTGGTGTCCCTGGACTCTGACAGGTGAGGGGTGAGTGGGATCTGCTTGCTGATTGTGGGTAGGGAAGGCCAAAAAGGTTTGAGCATTGCCACCAATTTTAAATGGCTCTAAAAAGGAGTGTTAGCAAAGAGGATCAGTCTGTGAACGGAATACCAGTCACAGTAGCCCTGTAGAGCTTCCAATTTCAGAAGCAGTCTTCCCCAGAAGATATGGGGGAGCAATGGCAGGAGTCAGCATTGCTTGTGGGCTTCCCAGAAGCATCTGGTTGGCTGCTCTGGGAATAGGATGCTGGACTAGTCTGATTCAACAGGGTCGTTTTATGTTCTTATGGGAGACAAACTTACTCTCATGCCACGAAACCCTATTCATTCTTAGCAGAGAACTGGGAGCCGGAAGTGTGCTAGAAATACCCTTTCAGTTTGTGCTGACCCTTGGTGTTTTTCTCTCCTAGTGATGAGGAGCTGGAATCAAGATGTTCCTCCGGTTACTCCTCTGCAGAGGCAAGTCTGGTGCATGGCTTGCTCCTTACAGGCATTGAAATTGACCTGCAGGTGGTGGGGTTTGTCTGCCTGTCTGTTTGACCTTCTGATGGTTAGTGAGCAAAGGCTTTTATGGCAGGTGGGGGGTGGGGTGCAAGATGAACCTCAGATGCTCATGTTGCCTGCTCATTAATCTTGGGGTGCAAAGACCCTCCAGATGCTGTCAGCCTCCATCTCTAGCTAGCCAGTCGCCAGGGATGGGAGAGCGTGTAGTTCGGGAGCCCTTTCTTACATGCAATGTCTATGTGTGCATGTGTCCCAGTAAGCATGTTGTGACTGACCATGAGTGAGGAATGTAGGCACATGGATGTGTGTGCGCACACCTGCATTTTCTCACTCGCATGCTTGCTAGGAAGGAGAGCTCTCCAGGCCTTTCTTCCTTCTTAGGACTGCAGTCCAATCCTATAAGGGGACACAGTTCTGAATAGATAAGCATAGGAATATGCTCTTAGGATTTGAAAAAAACAACCATAATTAAAATGTACAATAAAAGAAAACAGTGAAGAAGCATAGCAAGTAAAACAGTGGGGTAAAAGCAGTTAAGGTAATTAGATCAGGAAGTTCAAGTTCAGGAGAATGCTTGCCTCAACCAGCATGTCTTCAAGAGCCAGCAGAATGCCGCTACTGATGAGGCTCTCATATTTCTGCATGAAACGCAATGCAAGTCACTGATTCCACCAGTGGAAAACCCTGCCTCCATGTTACCACAAACAGATAACCAGCAGGCCGTGGCCAATTCCATAGTCCTCCAGCAGGTGTTTTCAGCTTGTCCCTCCTCTTGCTTCTCAGGTCAACCAGGATCTCAGCCGCCAGCTGCTGCAAGATGGGTATCGCCTCGATGAAATCCCAGACGACGAGGACCTTGACCTCATCCCTCCCAAGCCTGTGTCATCCTCACCATGTCCCTGCTGCTTTGGGGAGTCTGCCTCCTGCTCCATCCAGTAAGGATCCAAAGAGCAGGACTGCACTGCACAGGTCAAGAACCCAGCACTTTCCCCCCTTCCTTTCAGACTCCTGGAGGTCCAGCAGAGGCAATGGAGTCTGGCACCGAGCCTTGACCAAGCCGATAGGGAGCAGGAAGAGGGTGCTTTGGTGGCTGGGAAAGCGGGGTGCACCGTTGCCCTGCTTGCACTTGCCCGGGCACCAACCAGCCTCTTGAAGCTCTTTTCTGTGGTGCACATACAAGACTGCTCAGTGGAAGCCCTTGGAAGGCTCTGAGCCAGCTGGCTCCCTTGCCTGGGAATGCCTTTGGAGAAAGATGCAGATGGGAGAAGAGGACAGGGCAAGTGTTTTCCTCCTTAAAGGCAAACAGCCAAGATTTTTTTTGTGAAAGGGAATGAAGAATGGACTAGGACAAGTTAAAACTTTAGTTTACAAAAATTACGATTGGGGGAAAAAAAGCACAGCAATCACTACATCGCGTCAAACAGATTTTCCTCACTTGCTCAGGATCCTTTCCTGGACTCCAGTGCTTGAGCCACAGTCTCCTGCGGCCCTTGTAGAGCTGGACTATGATGTTGTCATGTGGATTTCTGGGATGGAGAAGCTCCTCTAACAAGCTGCATGGATGGAGCGCTGCCTGCTAGCATCCTTGCAGTCTCTTGAACTCCCACCCAGCCCTCTGCTGGCTTTGCTGCCTGGAAGCTGCTGCTCTCACTCCTTTCCCTTGAGGAGCTTTCAAAACAGTTTCACCAGCTGCTGCATCGTCTCAAATTGACTCTCAGCATTAAGTCTTGGCCTGGTGAAAAATGGACCTACTGAACCTTTTTTCTTGGCGTGGGAGGACGGTGTATTCCCCCCCTCCCACAGATAGAGGGGAAGGGTTCACTTGCCTTGCCTTGGAGGCTGGTCCTCCCTGGCAAAAGGGCCAACAAATCTGACATCCCTGGCTCCGGGTGAGAATCCTGGTTGGTTTAGGTCATAGCTGCCTCACTTTGACTGGGGAGCTGGTGCTGATTCAGACATGCTTGCTCCTCTCCCCTACCCTCTTCCGAAGTGAATAGAGACCAAGCAGAGGAGGAAGGCTAAGGTGCTAGCACCCATAGCCTCATTTCTGTGTTGCCTGCCTTTGTGTGATGAGGGGTCTAGACCAGGTGTGGCTCCAAGCGCCATCCAAGTGCTGCTGTTGGACTTCAGCTCCCATCATCCCTGACTGTTGGCCTTGCTGTCTGGGGTTGATGGGATATGGAGTCTCCCCAGTCCCTGGCGGGTACCAGGTTGAGGAAGCCTGATCTAGTGGGCCACAGGTCTCCCATCCCTGCATCAGTTCCTGTTATTCTGACTTAATTTCCCCATAATTAGAATTGGCTTATGCAGCCTCCTTTTCATTTCAAGCAGTGCATAGTGTGTTTTCCATGCACACTAAGTGATGCTTGTGAGCAAGTGCTGCAATCTAGCTTTTCTGATTCGCCAACACCAGCTGTGGTTCACTTTATGTGGCAGTTGTGGAGAACAGGGAGGGGAGGAATTGCCAGCATTTGTGAGGTACCCTGCTAGCATGCAAGTTGGGGCCATGTTCTCCCTCCATCTGGTGCTTTCCAGTTGGACTGAAAGCATGGTCAGTGATTAAGGATGGGAGTTACGGTCCAGCAACACCTGGAAGGCACTAGGTTGGGGGAGGAAGATGTGCCCTGTATATTTGGACAGCCTCATGGAGTAATAAATCCGTATGAATGGGATCCCCCCCCCCTTTGCTGCCTTGGTCTGGGGACCATAGCAGGCTATTACCTCTGCCGTCTAAACTGAAGCTTTAGTAGCAAGAGATCCAGAGGTCTCTGAAGGCACTAACACAACTTGAGCAAGATGCCACTGCACTGTTGTCCTCTGTTACTGTAAGTAGCTAAAAGTGGCGGCTGCTCCCCCCCCCTTTTCCTGGAAAACTTGCCAGTAGGGATGAGATAGTTTTGCCCTACTAGGCAGACTTGATCCTAAACTGGAGTTCTCTCTGCTCTGCTTAGCTGTTCCCAGGTGAGTGGCACCCAGGAGGCCATTTCCAGTTGAGAATATGTGCTTTGCTAGAATTATTTGTCAAGAGATAGGCCACGTGGCAGGCCATAACACAGGCCAGTGTTTACTCACTGGGGAACATGCTTAGCAAGAGTGAACTCTGCACTTTCCAGCCCTTCAGTAGAGTGAGTTGGTTGCTGGTGCAGCCACTAGATTACATAGGTAACTTTCCCCACCCCAAGCTGCCTTTCATTTTCTATATTTATTTGTGCTGCCTGCAGCATCCTCTGGAGAGAACTTCTCCATGGTAAAAGGTTGATGTTCCTGGACAGGTTCAAGCTGTTCAGTCCTAGTTGCAGTAAGCTTTTAATAGTGTGTAACGTTAGATGAGGTGGACAGTGGAGAGCCAGGGCACTAGTAGACCTGTAGAGAGAAAACTGCCCGCTTTCTGCTGCAAAGTAAGCTTGGCAGGCTGACAGTGTTGTGTACGTTGGGGTTTCAGGGTGGAAAAAGGAGTTCAGTGACTGTGTCCTATAGAGTGTTTAAAAAGCTGCCTTAAAATATTGAAATGCATTAAATGAAGTGAAATTGAAACACAAACCAACCTTGAAAGGCACAGAGGACAATCTTATTGGATATTAATGTTATTGTATATGCAGAGAACTATCTAGCAAATAGTTTTATATTTACTGAGCAAGGGAAGTGTGCATTAATAAAACTCTACCTTGTATTCACAAGGCTTGGATCCTTTTGTATGTGAAATGTTTGTTCCTTACCTGCGTGTTAGTGAAGAGGCCTGCAGTAGGATTCCTCCTGGGGTCTACGGTGGTGGTGGTGGTGGTGGTGGAGGGCAAGGGGCCGTGAGGAGCCTGTGGTCCTCCTGGCATTTGTAGGACTCTGTCCAGCCTGCTGTTCTTTCTGCCTCCCTTGCTCCTTCGAGGTTTTGAATGTCCTAACCTCATCTTACTTGGACAAAGCTCTTTATTCGGCCTTTTGAAAATGCAATTTTAAAAGCAACTTTAGCCCAAGAAAAACATACACCAGACAGGTTATTCTCAGGGCCTGTCCTCTACAGCACCTTCTTTATTTAGTCAACTTTAACTCGTTGCATTTGACTCTTAAACAACTGATGCTTTACACTGGTGGGAAGATTTTTTGTTTCTGAACCCATCTGAATTTCATCTCCCTGTTTCATTCTTTGGGGATTATTAGCCATAACTATAGCTGTGAAATACGGAATACAGTACAATGGTAGTAGGAATACTGGCTCTTCCAGGGGTCTTTACTTGCGCACACTCTGTACATACATCTCAAACCTCCAGTTAATTTAGGAACAAAATAGTTTGTATAAAGTGTAGAACTGGGTCCACACATCTCTTAACACAAATGGTAAGAAGTGGTTGACTGCAGCTATCAAAATGTCAAATGCTGAAACCACAGCTCTACAATTTGCAGCGCGAGAGTCTGGAGTCAAAATCCATCTGATGGATGACCTCAAGATTCAAATTCTGATACACAATCCCTTAAGACAACGCATGTATTCTGCCAGTCCCCCTACATCCTATTTCTTTTCACTTATAGCTGTTATTTCAGTCTCTGAAGGTTCTGTATTTCCCCCCTGCACTTTTCTCTCTCGAATCATTCTGCAGGAGACAATAGTCGCTCCTGCTTGGCACTCCGCTAGGGTAAGGACACACTCCTATTTGGCGGGAAGCTAAAGAGAAACTGGGGCAGTTCTCTTTGCTGAAATATACTGAGCCCCAAATGAGTGAGCATGCAAATCAAACCAGAGTTGTCGAATGGAAGCGCAAGTGGACTTTCCCTCCCTCCGTAAGCAACAACTTACAACACTCCAACTTCAAAGTGAGTTGAAGGTGGAGTGGCTGGGCTTCCTGCTCCCCAAGCCACAGAACTGAACTTTGGGTGAGGAACCTTTGACCCCCTAGATCTTGCAGGACCCCAACGCCCATCAGCCAGAATGGCCAATGGTTCTGGATGATGGGAGCTGTAAGCCAGTGACAACTGAAAGGCCACCGCCCTGCCCTGCCCCAAGGCAGCGCCTGTCCCTTAGCAACGCTTGAACTTATAGCACTGACTTACCCAAGAGTTCAGGGTACCATCATTCAATGATTCTCGTTACAGGTAGCCGTGTTGGTCTGCCGTAGTCAAAACAAAACAAAACAAATTCCTTCCAGTAGCACCTTACCAGCTAGGTTTGTTGTTGGTAGGAGCTTTCGTGTGCATGCAAGGTATCTGAAGAAGTGTGCATGCACACGAAAGCTCATACCAACAACAAACTTGGCTGGTCTCTAAGGTGCTACTGGAAGGAATTTTTTTTATATCGTTCAATGAATTTTTCTGCAAGAGGTGGAAGCAAGGGGTAGCGCAGAGTGATTATAACACTCGCTTTAGCTATTGGTACATGTACTTTACTTTGAAATGCCAGGTAAGTAGCTTCACCATACAGTGAAGATGTGGTAATCTGATGTTTTTTTTTAGGGAAGAGCCACTCTCTTCCTGTTGGTGCAAAAGCCAAACATGAGCTGACAATTTGATCATCTTGTAACCACAGCCCCTGCATGCCACAAAAAGATGAGCCTGCCTCCAAACTTAGCACACTAGTTGGGCCGGGGGACCCTTTTCTCCTGGTTGCTTGGGAACAGGTTCCAAACTACTGCAGGGAAAGCAGGTACTGGCTACGTTTGGATAGAAAGGAGCCTCTACCCCACACAGCCTCTCTCACCCCAACCAATTTGAGGGAGAGGAATAATAGGAAAATTGGGGTGCCAGTTTTAATTAATCATCTCAGCCCTAGACTGCTTTGTCTTCACTGTGCTTTGTTTGGAACAAACCAGCTCCATCAATCCCATGGTGTGCTTGTTTCAAACAAGGAAAAGTGAAGACACATACTGCACTTGGAGCTGGACCAGGGTCAGGTTTGCTCTTATCACAACAGGCTATGGTTGTGACACCCACATGGAGCCAGGGGATAGAACCACTCAGAGCTTCCTACATGGTGCTGGGAAAATGCTACTGGGGGGAAAGGAGATGGTGAAAAGCACCCAAAGCGAAGGCCCTGCCCCCCAGGCTGTAGCATTAGAGGACTTCTTGTTTCTGCCACCTGGCCCAGGATGGAAGTCCAGTGACAATGCACCTGAAAAGCCACCGGTACCAAAAACGTACTACTGGCTTGTCCTCCCATCCCGACATCAGGACTGTTGGCTGGGGGGAGCCCATGGTTCCCCAGGAGTTGCTGGACTCCCAACTCACATGGCCCTGCTGTGGGCAGACAGAACCGCTCCTAGATTAAGCAATCACCGGCAGGTGGCCCTCAAGGAGGAAGCACTTTCACACCAGAACATGCTGTCCACTACAGCCTGAGCAAACTTTGTCAGCCAGGGATTAGAAGCAATGATAGCCAACCACTCTCCATTGGCAGCAACTGGGGCGAGGTGGAGAAAAGCTTTTGCCTGCCCCCCAGGGAAAGGGCAGGAGGCAGAATGTCCTGGCTAAGAGGGAATTCCAGTGGCTGGGAAGCTCAAATCATCACCAAGCCCTTCTTCCAAATTTCCACCCTCTTCCCAGGGTGGTGGTGGTGGGGGGGGGTGAGAGAGGCACACCATTGACTGCTGGTTTCATAAGTTTTACAGCATTTTTAAAGTTCAGGGTGTGCAGACCGCTACCCCTCAAAAGCAGAGCGGTCTAGCACAAGGTGGAGATGGCAGTTTTTTTAAAAAAACGACGAGGTCTACTGGAGAATTCCCAGCCCCATGTTTTACAGCAACCGTTACAGGAGCAGGAGGGTTCTCCCTGGATAGAGTCAAGCTGTGTGGGAAACGAGGACCCACCATACAGGGGTGAGCGCCAATGCTTTGGGCTTTTGACACAGTGGTTTGATGGGTCAGGGGAGTAACTGGCTGTGCAGAGGACACACAGCCGTTTCTACTGGAGTCTCAGCAAGAGAAGAAAGAGCCAAGCACCCCACATTATACGAGACAGCAGGCTCGGAAGAGCAGCATCCCATCAGGTGCAGACAGGTGCAAGGAGACGCTCTCGTTGGCGGAGATGAAGAGCACAGAGCCGCGGCGGACAGCCATTTCTGAAGCGGCCGCAGTGGAGGTCCCGACTGCAGTTCCTTGTACCACCAACAGGATGCTGGCTGAGTCGATGGCTGAAATGAGGTACAGCTTGATGGAGGAAGGAATCTGCAAGAGAAAGCGGAACCCTTGCTCAGTAAGAGAGGTGGGGCCTGGGTATTTTAACTTCCTGCCTCACTAAGTGGGAAGCGAATGAGCCGGGCGTGGGACAAATCCAGAGGCAATGGCAGATCCTGACTTCCCTCCAGCCTCCAGAGTGCTCAGCAGTGCAAGCTGGTCTCCATCTCAAGCCAAACTGAGATTTCAGCAACTGTAAAAGCAGGCAACGACAGGTGTCCTTTCCCACTTGTGTCTTAAAGGTAAAGGGACCACTGACCATTAGGTCCAGTCGTGGCAAACTCTGGGGTTGCGGCACTCATCTCGCTTTATTAGCCAAGGGAGCCGGCATACAGCGTCCGAGTCATGTGAGCAGCATGACTAAGCCGCTTCTGGCGAACCAGAGCAGCGCATGGAAATGCCATTTACCTTCCCACAGGAGCTGTACCTATTTATCTACTTGCACATTTACGTGCTTTCGAACTGCTAGGTTGGCAGGAGCAGGGACCGAACAACGGGAAGCTCACCCCGTCACGGGGATTTGAACTGCCACCCTTCTGATCAGCAAGTCCTAGGCTCTGTGGTTTTACCCACAGCACCACCCGTGTCTTAACGTGCATTAAAAAAATCCCCATTTAAACATAAGGAGAGAGAACCACACATGCCACTCCAAGCTCCTTGGAGGAAGAATGTCATTATAAATAAAGTTTGGGCCCCATGTAGGGACAGGGAAGCAACTTTGTAAAGTTGGCATTAACATGCAAAGCTACCTAATTCACACTTTTCTGAACCAACATGCAATCTGAAAGCAGGTATCCCTGGAGATATGCTGTTCTCCAAATGTGTGGTGCAGTTCTCCAACCAAAAAAAGAATGCATCATTTGGGGAAAGTGTGTATCAGTGAAAATAATGTGCCAACATGCATTATATTAGAGGAAACAGTGTGCCTAAATGTGTTTTACACATTTTCCATGCGCACTGTTTAAAAATAAACTGCAAAGACATCCAGAAAGAGAGCAAACTGAACCTAAGATTCGGGGTGAGGGCAGAAGGAGAAACCAAAGTGGACGGATCCATCTGAGCCAAGCTGGACAGGGAGCAGATGCCTAATGCCACCTCGGCACTTGAAAGGATCTTGCAGCAGGAACCGCCTGCCGTCAGCAGGGGAGTGGAAGCCCCCGAGAAGCTCACCTCTATCCTCATGACAGAGAAGTCTGGGACTGGCGGGTCGTAGAGGTAGACACAAGGGTCCAGACGGCTCTGGACGGGGCTCAAGAGCTTGGAGCTGCCAGGGGCCGGCGTGTAGTTGAGCATTTCGCACAGCGTGAGGACGTCAATGAACTTGGGCGTCAGGCCAGCACGCACCGTGTTGTCAGAGCAGGCCATGCACTCAATGCAATCTGTGGCAAGGCGGGAAGGAAAGAGAAGCTGCCCGTCAGGAAGTGCAGAGGCTGCTGCTGGTGGCAGCAGCAAGAGAGGCCCTCCAGAAACACCCTCTGGCCCCAAGTCAAGAAACCCTCTTTTATCATCTCCTCCCTGTCATCTCAAACTAAGAGTTTTAGAGTTGGCAAGGCCCTATGAGGCCACTTAGCCCAGCGGAGGATTCTTGCAGCTGCAGCAGGGATGGTGAACCTAGTGACCTCCAGGCATCTCTGGAATACAACTCCCATCATCCCTGACCATCAGCTGTGCCAGCTGGGGCATGATGGGAACTGGAGTCCAGCACACCTGGAGGAAGTGGCTGCCAAGGCATTCCGTTGCCGGAACAGCCCTTGCCATTGGGCAGTGTGGCGTTTGCCCTCCTAGGTGTGTGACATGATACTGGGTTCATAAGGAAAGGGTTAGGTAAAGGGTAAAGGGACCCCTGACCATTAGGTCCAGTCGTGGCCGACTCTGGGGTTGCGGCGCTCATCTCGCTTTATTGGCTGAGGGAGCCGGCGTACAGTTTCCGGGTTATGTGGCCAGCATGACTAAGCCGCTTCTGGCGAACCAGAGCAGCGCACGGAAACGCCGTTTACCTTCCTGCCGGAGCGATACCTATTTATCTACTTGCACTTTGATGTGCTTTCGAACTGCTAGGTTGGCAGGAACTGGGACTGAGCAACGGGTGCTCACCCCGTCGCGGGGATTCGAACCGCCAACCTTCTGATCAGCAAGGCCTAGGCTCTGTGGTTAAACCCACAGCGCCACCTGTTAACTAATTGTAAAATGACTAACCAATGGGAACCCAAGGGGAGGAATTAGAGTTAGAGTTAGAGTTAGAGTGGTTGAGAAGACAGTCTGGAGTTAGAAGAGACAGAGAGGATAAGTCTGTGGGTTGGGCTAGTCTGATGTGAGAGAGTGAGAGAATCTGTTAAGAGGAGTCAGTCAAACAGTTGAGATAATCAGTCAGAAGGTATCAGGAAGGTATAGGCCAGTTAAGATACTGACAGGAATATTACCTGAGAAACCATAAACTTGTTAATGCTTATAAAATAAACTTGTTAATTTGGTTCACTTTTAACAACTGTCTGGACTCAGTGTTTTACCTGAGAGTAACAGGTTGGTGGCAGCGGGGAAGCAAGCACACTGGTGGCACAGGGATCAATAGACCGTTAAATGTCCGGGGACCCTGTGTGTTCGCCACAGGCGGCTTCCTCTCCGCTTCCACCTGTTGCTGTACTCCTGCCCTCCTGAACAACAGAGAGCAACAGAGAGCAAGTCTGCCCCATCTTTAAGTTGCGGCTGCGCTCTACCCCACTTGATCTTCACAGACTCAGTGCACCCAACTGTCCTTTGCGGGACTTACCCACCAGACCTGCTTGCCATGCTGGACACCTCTCCTCTGAGGGTTGCTCTAGTTTTTCAAAGTGCTAATTAAAATGGAGCGCCCAGACGCAAACCCCAAAGTGGGGAGCATTAGGCTTGGGCGCCATACGTGACCCCTTCTAGGTTTCTCCCACGGCCACAGGCCTGCGCCCCACAAGTGCTCAATCCAAGCGGTTAAGTCCCATAAACCTGGGAAGCGGCCTTGAGAGGAGATCTGGTGGCCATACAAATAAATAATAATAATAGTAATATTTTTTTATATGTACCCCGCCCATCTGGCTGGGTTTCCCCAGGCACTCTGGGCGGCTTCCACAAAGACCAAAAATACACTAAGATGTCACACATTAAAAACTTCCCTGAACAGGGCTGCCTTAAGATGTCTTCTGAATGTCAGGTAGTTGTTTATCTCTTTGACATCTGATGGGAGGGCGTTCCACAGGGCAGGCGCCACTACCGAGAAGGCCCTCCTTTGCCTGGTTCCCTGTAGCTTTGCTTCTCGCAATGAGGGAACCGCCAGAAGGCTCTCGGTGCTGGACCTCAGCGTCTGGGCAGAACGATGGGGGTGGAGACGCTCCTTCAGGTATACTGGGCCGAGGCCATTTAGGGCTTTAAAGGTCAGCACCAACACATTGAATTGTGCTCGGAAACGTACTGGGAGCCAGTGTAGGTCTTTCAAGACCGGTTTTATATGGTCTCGGCGGCTGCTCCCAGTCACCAGTCTAGCTGCCGCATTCTGGATTAATTGCAGTTTCCGGGTCACCTTCAAAGGTAGCCCCGCGTAGAGCGCATTGCAGTAGTCCAAGCGGGAGATAACTAGAGCATGCACCACTCTGGTGAGACAGTCCGCGGGCAGATAAGAGTCTCAGCCTGCGTACCAGGTGGAGCTGGTAGACAGCGGCCCTGGATACAGAATTGACCTCCATGGACAGCTGTGAGTCCAAAATGACTCCCAGGCTGCGGACCTGGTCCTTCAGGGGCACAGTTACCCCATTCAGGACCAGGGAGTCCTCCACACCAGCCCGCCCCCTGTCCCCCCAAAACAGTACTTCTGTCTTGTCAGGATTCAACCTCCAAGCCTCTCTTTTGCTTCTGTGCCCGGAAACTCACCTCCGTAGATGTAGGCGTGGGGTTCATTGGCACCCAGGAACATGCACTCCCCGGGCTGCAGCTTCATCAGGTTCAAGAAGTAGATGGCAAAGCAGCCGATGTCTCCGGGGTACTGGGAGTGGAGGCGGAGGAGGAGCTCCCCACAGCTGGCCGAAGTATCTTTCCCTGCATCTGCTGTGGGATGGAGACACATGGAGGGAGTCTGGTGAGCAACAGCTGCTGGTTGCCAAGTTTCGCCTTACAGTGGAGGCCCTAACCCCCCCACAGAGGTCGCTCCCATCAGCCTCCCACAACATGGCCAACCATCAAGGGTGCCTGGAGTTGCAATCACAGGAACACCTGGAGGACCACAACCTCCCCAGCACCCAAGTCTCACACTAGACCCACCTTCCTGAGAAATCCGCTTCACCAGCATGTTAAGCTGGTCCACAAAGACCTTCTTCTCGCTCTTCATCATCCGGGTGAAGCAGATGCGCAGTGCGGCAGAGACACCCCGGGGGTCTTCGCCCACGCAGCGTTCCAGCTGCTCCGCCGCCACATTCCCGATCAGGGCCCGGAATTCAGGAACGTCTACAAGGAACCCAAAGGACATTGAGAATGGCTGCATTGAGTCTAGCCGGATTTAAGACTATATTATGAAGCATCCTGTCTATGCTGGCTAAAGGAACGGATATCACTAAAAATTCTGAAGTTTTAGATCTTGAAGGTCATGATAACAGATATGGTTAGCATGAATATTTATGGTACGAGGTTAAAGTAAATAGAGCTTTCCTAAATCGTGTAGTAAGGAAAATGGTTTATGAAGTATGGGGAAATATAAAAAATTATTAGAACGAAAAACACCATGATGACTTTCCCACTGAAAGCGACATCTCAAAAAAAATTAAATATGAGAAATGACTGGGCAACTTATAAAGAATTATTAATGGAAGTAGAACATCAATTAAAATTAAAGAGGTTTGAGGATATAAGAGAACTATTAACTGATTGGTTACAATAATAAACAAACAAACAAACAAACAAACAAACAAACAAACATTATTCATTCATTCATTCCCCAGCCACTAGGCTACCATCCACTTAATGATATATTTAAGATGGACAAAAAGAAAGGCTTTTTTAAATGAAACATCTAAATTTGAAAAAGAACTGTTAGAAAACAAGACCAAATTGCTTTCTAAAATGTATAAAGTAATATTAGAATAGCATACAAAAGATGTACAGGTTAAATCAGTTATGATACACTGGGCGAGGGACTTTGAATATAATATACAACTTACAGCATGGGAGAAGTTATGGAACTGGGACTTGAAGTTTACAGCATGTTATACTTTGAAAGAAAATTGTATGAAAATGATGTATCGTTGGTACTTAACTCCTAGTAAATTAGCTAAATTGTATAAAATAAGGTCAAATACATGCTGCAAATGTAAGGAAAAAGAAGGCACCTTTTATCATATGTGGTGGATTTGAAAAGTAGTAAAAAAAAATATTGGGAGACAATATATAATGAAGTGGGGAAAAATGTTTAGAATAACTTTTTCTTTAAAAAACCCGAAGCTTTCCTTTAAGGAATTCTAGGTGCCAAAATTACAACAGAACAGAAAAGACTATGTATGCGACCACTGCTGCCTGGTTGTTACTAACCCAGAGATGGAAAGAAGAAGAATCCTTACCAGAGAAGAATGGCAAATTAAGTCGATGGACTATGCCGAAATGGCAAAAATGACCAGAAGAATCAGAAATCAGGAAGACCAGGAATGGGGAAAATAAATAATTTACCTTAAAAATCATTTTAAACAATTAAAATTATTAGTTGGATTGGAATAATAATACTTGTAGTTTAATGTTGAATTATGGTTGTAATTGAGATTTAATAGATTTGGATTAATAGAGAAGATGCAGGAGGAAAAAGTTAATTAAAGACCCACAAAGGGGAGGAGGGAATTCCAGAGGAATCTATGGAATTCTCTTTTTATTTTGGATGTTTGACAATTGTATGTAAATTTCAAAATTTGAAAAACTAAATTGATTTAAAATCCTCCACCTCTGGCAGGTCCCTGAGGGGGCAGTTGCTTCTGCTTCCAGTTAATCACAGCCTGTCATGTCGACCAAGCCCAACTAATTGTGTGGTCAATCTTAACTACAGCTTGCTGGAAACAAGCCAAATTCAAACTATAGTTCAAGAAGCTAACTTGATTTCAACATACTACTATTAAGCAAACCACGGTTGAGGGCTGGGCTGTAACACTAAACTGTGGTTAACTGAAACTGAAAGCAAATGCTGCCAACTGCCTCCTTGTGGCTGTGCGAGGGGAGGGAGAGGATGGGTGAGCCTGCAGGGAGGCGATGCTTGTTTCCATCACAACACGGTTCCAAGGACACAATTCCATCCCCAGTTGGGACACCCGAGTCCCTGTATCTTGCTGGTACTTATGTCCTTCCCTTCCCCTCCCCTCCCATGCTTACTCTGGAGAAAAGACACAATCTCCTCAACAGGCCGGAAGCCACACATGCCCTCGAAGGGCGTCAGGGCGATGGCCATCTCCGGCTTGTGGTTGGCATCTGGGTAGTGCTCTGGATACTGGGCATGAAGCTTCTCTGCCAGCTCCTGGGAGGGGGGAAGAGGGAGGGAAGAGGGGGGACAGGTGTTGAGCCCCAGGCTCCAGTGTCACAGTCAGTCTGCTCAGGCAGGGGGGGTGCTCTGTTGTGGGTTCAGTGAGCCACAGAGCACCTGGGGAACCAGGCAACGCACCCAGGGTGGGCTAATACGTCAAGGATGGGAAGCAAAGAAGGCGGAATCTGTGCTGCGACCCCAGAAGGATCAGACATTAACCCATTAACATGAAACTTTGGGCTGGATCCAAAAGGTTCCGTTTGCCTGTTGGTGGAAGGCTCCTTGTGTCGGAGGAAGGGAACCTCTGGACCCAACAGATGAGCACCTGCTTCCCTTGCACGCCATTCTGAACTCCGGCTTCAACCGCTGATGCTCCTTCAAGCTCCTTGTCCTTGACCTGCAAAGTCCAGAAAGCTCTACAGGATTCCATGCCGTTTGGCACCCTGGGAAGAGGGCCTTACCTTGGTGGGGTGAGCCTGGATGGACAAGGCTGAGTTAACAGACAGCACTTTGAACAAGAAGGGCAGCTGGCCTTGGAAGGCCTCCTTGACCTTGGTGCCCAGGCTGTCGGGGTTGTCCGCGATCCATTGCCGCAAGGTCTTCTGGGGGATGCGGTTATCTAGAATCATGGCGTCTCCTTTGGGGTGAGTGCCCATCCAGAGCTAGGAGGAAAAGAGAGCACACAGATGATGCACAAAACCTCTTGGCGCACGTCTGGGCCACCTGTGGCCCCCCAGGTGCTGGGCTCCAATTCCCATCAACACCAGGCAGCACAGCCAGAAATCAGGGCTGATAGGATTTGGAGTACAGCATGTGTCTTGCACTCTGATCAGCTCCAACCACTAGCCCTGTTGGCTGGGGCTGATGAGAGTTGGGCATCTGTCAACAAAGGAAAGGTGGCACCTTGCCTGTCCCCATTTCGGAGCCCTGAAAAATCAGTTTCTGAGCAGCAGTCTTGTGACGGTTCCCCCGTGGCCTCTTTAGGCAGGGCTGAGAGCTCAGACTCGTGAGGTTTTTTTTTGTTTTTTAAAATTGAATTTACATACCGCCCTATACCCAGAGGTCTCAAGGTGGTTCATAGAACAAAATCAAAATATGAAGCCACAATATATATAATCAAAATAAAAACAACCCAATAGCACCCCCCCAAAAAAACCCCCACATTTTAAAAGGGCATAGGATGTCAATCAAATCAACCAAAGGCCTGGTTAAAAAAGAACTTTGCCTGGCACCTAAAGGTGTATAATGAAGGCACCAGGCGAACTTCCCTGGGGAGAGCATTCCACAAACGAGGAGCCATTGCAGAGAAGGCCCGTTCTCGTGTTGTCACCCTCTGGACCTCGTGAGGAGGTGGCACACGAAGCAGGGCCTCAGAAGACGATCTCAGGGTCCGGGTAGGTTCATATGGAGAGATGGCCCTTGAGGTATTGCAGTCCTGAGCCATTTAAGGCTTTATAGGTCAAAAGCAGCACTTTGAAGTGGGCCCAGAAACTAATTGGTAGCCAGTGCAGTCGGACCAGGATCGGTGTATTATGCTCAAACCAACCCGGCAACTCAATTCTGCACTAGCGACCAAAGCAGTTTCTGTGCCAAAACTGGGCCTAAACCCCAACTGAAATGGATGCAGAAAATCAGTTTCTTCCAAAAGCAACTACTTGTTCCAGAACCTTGCTCAGGAAAGGGAGATTAGCAACTGGCCAGTAGTTTGTTAGGTTTTCTGAATCCAGGGAAGGTTATTAAGGAGTGGTTTTACCACTGTCTCCTTCAAACAGGCAGGGACCAACCCCTCTTGTAAGAGGCATTGATCACCTCCCTGGCCCAGCCAGCTGTTCCCTCCCTGCTGGTTTTTATCAGCCAAGAGGGGCAGGGGTCTAGACCGAAAGTGGTCGCCCTGACTGATCTGAGCACCTTGATCCAAGTTCCCAGGAATATAGCGGAATTTGGGAATGGGCAAGGAGGGAGAAGGGGAGGGAGCCTGGCTCTAAGGGCCCCCAGGCAGGTTGCACTCACCTCCGCATAGGGCTTGCCCGCTTCGATGTGGATCATTGGATCACTGCTTGCCAGGAGGCTGGCCACTTCACTGTCCTGGCCCAGTTTGCCCCAAGAGTAGTTCTGCACGGCGCAGGCCAAGGGAAACACTGAGCGAGCAAAAGACACAGGCACAGGTGGGAGGTCAGGCACAAGGACACAATGTGAGAAGCTCCCCACAGCTCCATCGCTGTTGTCAGGATGCTCCCTCTCAGGGTAAATGAGCCCACCTCACCCTTACCCTGCATCTACACAGGCCCCCACCTGCACATTTAAAGCAGGATCACTCCACTTTAAATAGTCATGAGTTCCCGCAAAGGATCCTGGAAACTACAGTTTGTTAAGGGTGCTGAACTATAGTTTGTTAAGGGTGCTGAGAGAGCCCTAGTTATCTCTCAGAGTTACAATTCCCTCTGGTTTTCACCACCGAAGAATTGATGCTTTTGAATTATGGTGCTGGAGAAGACTCTTGAGAGTCCCATGGACTGCAAGAAGATCAAACGCATCCATTCTTAAGGAAATCAGCCCTGAGTGCTCACTGGAAGGACAGATCGTGAAGCTGAGGCTCCAGTACTTTGGCCACCTCATGAGAAGAGAAGACTCCCTGGAGAAGACACTGATGCTGGGAATGCACAAGGAGAAGGGGGCGACAGAGGACGAGATGGTTGGATAGTGTTTTCGAGGTTACCAGCATGAGATTGACCAAACTGCGGGAGGTAGTGGAGGACAGAGGTGCCTGGCGTGCTCTGGTCCATGGGGGTCACAAAGAGTCGGACATGACTAAACAACAACAACAACTGGTTTTCACAGCCCACCGCTCTTCATGGGGAGCTGCAGCTCTGTGGGCAGAACAGGGTCTCCTAAAAACCCTCAATGCCCAAAACAAGCTACAATTCCCAAGATGGTTTGGTGGGATGCAGTGGCCGTCATTGCAGACACTAATAGGAAAGAATGAGATGGTTTTAAGAGATTTTCTTTTCTTTTAAAGGCCTGAAGGAGTAAAATAGATTTGCCTGGCCTTCAAAATTTACTGTTGGCCAACGGAGCCGCTGTGAAAAAGGCCCTATCTTCCTTGCAGGTTTTTAAGCAGAGGTTGGGCGATCATCGGTCGGGGGCGCCAAGATTGCGCATCCTGAATGGCGGGGGTTAGAAACCCCTTCCCACCCCCGGAAGGCGCAGAAGGGACCGGGCTTCCCCCGAGAGCGGGCACCGCTCCTGCCTGCTCGCTCCGCGGGAACGCCTTTCTCCTCCCCACCCGGAGGGGCGGCTCGCTCCTGCTCCTGCTCCTGCTCGCCGCCGCTTTGTCCCGGAGCCCCTCCGCCCATCGCGGGCGGGGAGCACGAGGAGCCGCCCGCCGCCGCCCCCCGGACCCCCAAGGCGGGCAGGTAGGCGCCCTCCTTTGCCCCGGCCTCGCTCACCTCGCAGCTCCGCCATCCCCGCGACGCTGCTCTGCCTCGCTCTGCCCCGCCTCTTCCAGGCGCCGGCCGGCCGGCTGGCCGGGCACGCCGGGAAAAGTAGTCCGCCGCTCCGGATCAGGTGTCTGGGGAGGGAGAGCGAGAGCGCCCGTCAGTCTCAGCCCGGGCCAGGCTGATGCGTCCTGGAGCTGCAAGCAGCAATTGCACCGGCGCAGCGCAGCAGTCACACAGGTGCAGCTGCCCCGAGGCCGCCCCTGAAACGCTCCGCAGCGTCGCAAAACAGGCAGCTTAAAGGTTTATGGTCAGACTCGGGAGTGAGCGGTTGGATTCGAACCCGGATCCGAGTCTTCTCCCGCACTCTCAACTGATCCGCGCCGAGTGGCGTGTTATAGATGAGGGGTTGGTGGTTTCCCCCCTGGAACGAGTGAAAAATAAATCTCTCTTGTGCTCCAGGAAACGTGGTTCTTTTGCCGGGGGAGCTGGATGGTGCAGCCAGGCTAGGCCCTATATTACGCACGAGTTGCCGGAAATGTATTAATGCAATTAATTAATCAAGCTCTTGCAACATTTAGGTCTGGCAAGTATTAAGCCGTTCCGCAAGCGTAAACCCTGCTGCAGCTGGAATAGTCCATACAGCAGAAGACTCTCACTCTTAATCTCAGGCTCATTTCGCAAAAGATTCCTGCATTGCCGGGGTTGGACTAGATGATCCTCGTGGTCCCTTCCGGATCTACAATTATATCATTTTATGCCTTGAGTGGGACTTGCTTCCAAGTGAGTGTACATCACACCCAAAAATGCACCACAGGTGGGGCTGCCTTTGCACACAGGGTATGGGGGGCGGGCAGAGGCCAACAGTTACTGCAGGGCAGTTGCAGGCTATGCTTGTTGCCCCCCCCTTCCTCCTGAATCACTTTCTATGAAGCATTTCAAAGCAACACCACAATGCAAAGCATAGAGAACAATCACATATATAACTAGTGTTCGAACGACGACATGTACAGAAACAGTTTCAAATTGCACAATACAAATATTGACCAGGACAAAAATCTCAACTTAGAACCAGGCTTGTTAGAAGAAGGTGCTGATCAGTGGTTTCATTTCAAAGTACTGGTTTTGGCCAGTAAAACCCCAAACTGGAAGCTCCAGCATCTGGGACTTGTTTTGCTTTAATGAGAATGCTGGAGTCCACTTGCATTCAGCTGCTGCAAAGTCAGGTACAAAATGGTGAATCTAGGAGGGGAGCTGATTACCCGCTGCAGGTATCCCACATGCAGTGCAATAGGATGGCCCCCACATATTCAAATGCAAATCTGTTATTCTTATTTATTATATTTCCTATTTTTATATCCCACTTTTCCAGCAGGGAGCTTGAGACAATGTAAATGGATCCTTTTTTCCTCTACAACAGGCACCCCCCAATTTGACCCTCCAGATGTTTTGGGACTACAACTCCCATCATCCCTAGCTAACAGGACCAGTGGTCAGGGATGATGGGAATTGTAGTCCCAAAACATCTGGAGGGCCAAGTTTGGGGTGCCTGATCTACAACTAAGACTAAACCTGCCATCCTAACCCTGGGAGCACATCCCATGGAATTGCATAGGGCTTCCTTCTGAATAGATGTGGCTAAGACTGCCCTGCAGGTTACTACAAATCAGAGATTGTAGCAGTCTATATTCTCAAATTAGGTGGTTAGAATATTGCAGCATATATTTGTAGATTTCTGTGAGTTGCCTTGTGTGGTTTTTAAGAAAGGCTGCTAAAGCACTTGATAACGAGTATGACGATGCACAACACCCTTGTTGCTGCTGCTATTGACAGGGAGGGTGAAGTCAAAAACACTTTTGGGCTACTGCAAACTGTTCAGCAACCTGCAAGCTGACCTTGGTTCCCCTTTCCTTGCTCACCCTTCCCCCAAAAGGCCTTGGGGATCTGAAGGAGCGTCTCCTTGTGGGTGAGCCTGCCTGTGTATGCTAAGGTTGCCTGGAAGGGCCCAGGCCCACCTTTGGGGGTTCTGCAGGCGACCACAGGAGACAGGGCCTTTTCTGTGGTGGTGCCCTGATTTTCATGTTCATCACTGTTATTACAAAAAAAATTCCTTCCAGTAGCACCTTAAAGACCAACTAAGATCACTGTTATTAGTTAAAGTCCAAGGAATAGCCTCAAGCAAGCTTGCCTGGCCCCTTCTTTAATACCTTTCAGGCATGAAGTAAAGGAACTACTCAGAGGAAATGGGGGAGATATAAATGTAATTCAATTCATATACAGTAGTGTGTTGCTGTTACTATTTTGGCTGCCATTCTACATTCACGCTTACCGAGTTAAACAGACTGCTGCGCACTACGCGGCACACTACGGTACCTGGAGCGCTCTCTCCGCTCAGTGCGCATGCCCGGAAGTCAACTTCCCCTTCATCTTGAGATCTATTTCTCCTCCATCTCCGGAGCGACAGAGCGGAGAGCGCGAACAAGCGCGCCTTCTGCATTTGCGCATGCGCCCTGCTACCTCCACGCGCCCTTTCCTCTGCGGCTCGATGAGGTCACAAAGGCGAGAGAGAGAAAGGCGTCTTTGTCACGTGGCGAAGGAGTGCGCCTGCGTCTTGCGGGTCGTTCTGCGCAGGCGCGCGAGGGAAGAGGCGGAGGAGGAGCGGGGAGGAGACCCCTGGTCCCGGAAGTGTGCCTTTCCAGGGAGCGGACCGGGTTGAGAACCGGCGCGGCGGAGCTGAGTCTCGGAGAGCGGCGGCGGCGGCGGCGGCAGCAGCCATGTCGGCCTTCGACACCAACCCCTTCGCCGACCCCGTCGACGTCAACCCCTTCCAGGTGAGCGGGGTGTGAAAGGAACACCTGTGGCCGCGGAAGGCGGGAGGCCTCAGGCCACGCCCCGAAGGGAGGGAGACCCACGGGCGCCCCTCGGCTCTGGCCCCCTCGAATGCAAAAGAGCCCCGGGGTGGGGGCGGGGTGGAGGGGTCTCCGTGGGAGCAGGAGGGCGGCAAACCCCCTTCCCGCTCCTTGTGGCCCCAGAGGTGGCAGGGCCTGGAGCGAGCCGGGCTTAAGTAAGCTCGCTCCGTGTTGGCCCTCGAACCAAGAAGCCCTGTTTCTCAGTCACCCCTTATGGCAGGCAGCCCCAACCTGCGGCCCTCCAGATGTTTTGGCCTACAACTCCCATGATCCCTAGCTAGCAGGACCAGTGGTCAAGGATGAGGGGAATTGTAGTCTCAAAACATCTGGAGGGCCGAGGTTGAGGAAGCCTGCCTTATGGTTTAGGGGTTAGGCTGGGTCAGATGGACAACAACTGGGAAGAGCTAGGAGTTTGGGGATCTGAGCTCCTTGGAATGAAAATGCAATGAATGAGGGAATTGATAAATAAAATAAGAGGTCACATGTCTCTTCATTGCCCAGTGAACATAACAAACCCTCCAGAAGCAGGTGTTATATCACAATGAACTGCAGGAATGGGAAAGGGAAGTTACGGATTTAAGCCCAAGGTAATTTCCAGTCTGGCCTGAGACAAGATTTGGGGCTTCTTCAGTTATGAATGGATGTGGCCTGTTACCTTAATTCTAACAGAAAACCAAAGCTTGTGCTTTTAAGATTACCCATCTCATAGACTGTTGTTTCTTAACACACGGGATCATCTGAGGATGGGATGGGGGCATGTCCATCCTTCAACACAAATTTTGTCTTGGCAAACAGGTTTTTCCTTTGAGAACCAAGTGGCAGGGAGGCAGAACTGTATCTTCATTGTTGAGGAAAAGGAGTGTTTGCTTATTGACACTTTTGGGGAGCTGTAATTTTTGTACACTCTGGAGTTTGTAGCAATTTTCTTAATTCGTTGACTTGTACCAGGCAGAGCTTGCTGCTCTTTCTCATGACAGAATCATGAGCAATGCTCTGTAGTGATGTTGCAGTTTCCTTTCCTGAGCTGCTCTGTCAAGAACACACACCAGGTTACTACACTGCATTATCTCTTGAAAGGGGCAGAGTTGCATGTGTGCATACTGTTAACAGTTCTACTTGATAAGTACACTTTTTAAATTTTAGATTATAAGCCTGTAGGTAGGAATTTCTAGGTTTGAATTCATGCCCAGTGCCCAGTATCCTTTAGGCACTTTTACAATTATTATATGACAGCTTAACCATTCATCATGTACAGTGCATAGTGTGCTTTAGGCACTTAATCAAATAATAAATGACAACTTACCAACACGTCTATTGCAAATGCCAGCTGCTTCTGTCAAGCAGGGGTGAAGAACCTGTTGCCCTCACTAAATTGTTGGACTCCCACCTGCCTCAGCCAGTATGGCCAGTGATCAGTATCAATGGAAGTTGTTCGGCAACATCTGGAGACTGCCAGATTGGCTACCTGTTGCAGAGCTGTCTGGCTGCCAGGCACCCAGCTTCATTGATCTGAACACCTCTTTGTGTAATGGGGTGAAATTGAGTGCTAATTCTACTGTTGCTGTGGGAAATCGTAATCCTTTTGGCTTGTTTATAACAGCTTTGACTCTTCTTCAGTTTCTCCAGTATTGCTTTTCCTGTTAGCACATCACTGTCATATTGCTACTTTGCTTTGACTCTGCCCTCCTACATCTGATGCTTCTCAGGTGTACATGAGATGGGTGGGAACATTACTGCCCACTACGGAAGCTCATAATGTAGTTTTGATTCTTTTAGGACACTGAATTTGCAGTCCTAAATATATTTGCTAGGTAGTCAGCCCTACTGAATGCAGTGGGACTGACTTCTGATTGAACACACATAGGACTGCACAGAGAAGCTGGACTGCCCTCCACTCTGTATCTGGTCAATTCAGTCTGATGTGCCTGGGTTTAAAGGAGCATAATTAATGGCTTAAGTTGGTTCTTCAGAGTTAAGCCGCAGAGCTTTCCTTTGATTACAGAGTTCCTTTTTTGAATCCATCTTTATCAACATTTATGACTTTAAGCATGTCTTAAGAATCATTACAGTGGTACCTCGCAAGACAAATGCCTCGCAAGACAAAAAACTCGCAAGACGAAAGGGTTTTTTGTTTTTTGAGCTGCTTCGCAAGACGATTTTCCCTATGGGCTTGCTTCGCAAGACGGAAACGTCTTGCAAGTCTGTTTCCTTTTTCTTAACACCGT